TAAAAAAAAAAAAAAAAAAAAGTGTTTTTTAGGTACAGGTGAATGTGAGTTTATTGGTAAGATTAAATGAAGAACTTGGAGAGGGCCAGGCACACAGTGAGCTCTCAATAAGAAAAGCTCATTGGTAGCACCTTCCAAATTCTTAGAACTTTTATTTAGAATGGAGTATACATTTGCTCAAAATTTTTCTCTTCGGGGGGCCGGCCAAATGGTTCAGTTGGTTAAGAACACGAGCTCTGAGCAACAGGGTCACCGGTTCGATTCCCACATGGGCCAGTGAGCTGTCCCCGAGCTGAGCTGCCGCTGAGCTGCCAACAGGTGGCAGGATGGCTCAGCTGGTGAGAGCACATGCTCCTAACAGCAGGGTTGCTGGTTCGACTCCCGCATGGGATGGTGGGCTATGCCCACCTCCGCAACTAAGATTGAATACGGCACCTTGAGCTGAGCAGCCACGAGCTGCTGACAGGTGGCCAGATGGCGACTGGACTTAGGGCTGATCCCTCCACAACTAAGATTGAAGGACAACAACTTGGCTGTTACCCTTCCCCAATTCCCCAACACTGTTCCCCTTCCCCAATATCCCAGTAAAAATCTTTAAAAAAAAAAGAAAAAAAATTTTTTTTTTAGAGAAATTTTATTGGGGAACTGTGTGTTTTTCCAGGACTCATCAGCTTCAAGTCAAGTAGTTGTTTCAATCTAGTTGTGGAGGGTGCTTTTCCAGGACCCATCAGCTCCCAGCCAAGTAGTTATCTTCAATCTAGTTGTGGAGGGTGCAGTTCCTTGGCCCATGTGGGAATCGAACCAGCAACCTTGATGTTCTGAGCCTATGCTCTAACAACATGAGCTAACCGGCTGCCCCTCAAAATTTTTCTTTATTCTCTTAAAGTTACAGAAGAATTGTCTCCTCTCCCTAACCAATTCCAGGATTCTTGCGGATGTTCCATTTGACAGGCAAGTATAAAACTTGGTCATCTGATTTTAGGGTGTTGACCCATGTTATACTCTGAGCATTGTTGGCTTTTGGGTTATAAGTTTAGCAAGGGTCTGATTAAAGCTGGGATAACATATTTGAGGAGAATGCTTTGTTGAGCTTCTTCCACAGAGGTGATTGAAAGTAGCCTGCCCATAGATGTTGTCTCCCAAAATCTGATTCCAGTTAAAGGCAGTGGGTGGTAAGAACATGGGCTCCAGAGAGTCAAACATTTGGTTTCAAGCTCTAGCCCTTTCATTGTATTTGTGCATGAGCTTCCTCATTTGTAAAATAGTGACTCTTATGAGGATTGGATATGGTAATGTTTGTGAAGTACTTATCACAGCTAGCTTAAGAAGTACAGGCTGTTTTAAACATTAGTCATTCTTTTGTTATTTTTTATATATTATATATTAAATTATATTTAATAATTTATATCTTAAATTATATTTAATAATTTTTAAAAAAATCCTCATCCTAGACTCCAGAGGGATTCCTCTTGAAGCTTTTATAATCTCCCAGATTCATGAGTTCAAAAACCTGTATAATAGTTGCTGACAACAGCAGAAAAATTAAGCATAGGCTCATTGGAACAAAGCCTGTGATTTGTGGCTGCTGGGTTGTAGGCTAAGCCATTCTCAAATCTAATTGAAATGAGTACTTAAAATGGGAGTTGACTTTTAAAAATACCATAGGGCAAGTAGTCCTCATTAAAAAAAATTTTACATATATATATGTCATCTATATCTATTCTTTTATATTGGGTTGTCGGGAAAGTCATGACGTATTTTTCTATAGTTTTCAATGCAAAAATGTGTCATGACTTTCCCGACGACACAATATATACTGTATTTCCACCTTCTCTTGAAAAGTTGGGAGAGCTTTCTCACCTATGTCTTCATTTCTACATGGCAGCCCTCAGTTGGAGCTGAGTAACAACTGCTCCTATAAAAGGGCATGAATTCTCTCTAGCTAATTGATTTGTTGGCTGTGGCCTTTTAGCACTGTCTGTAATTCAGATTACGGGTTACTACCTCTCAAGGAACTTTTATTTTTCAGACTCATCATAGTAGAAACTGAGTGGTAAATTAATGTCTTTCTTAAATCTGCCCATTTTTCTCTGAATCCTGTGCATCTTGCTCACATTCTTATTTGCATGCTCTCCTCTTCCTCTTCTGATCTCTTCTTGCCAAATGCTTTTGATTTTCATACTTGAGGCTTTAGAAGTCCAAGACTACTTTTGTTACAGGATTTGGTGGTGGGGGTGGGGTGCTGAGATTTCCTCTGTCCTCATATACAGTTTTACAGAATTGTGAGAAAAATACTATTTTTCAGGTTTGATGCTGCCAAGTTTGTTATGAGTTGGCTCTGTAAGCATGAAAACCCCAAGATGCAAACAATGGCAGTGAGCATCACTTCTATTCTAGCCTTGCAGGTATGTGATTGTTAAAGGCAAGATCTCTCTCCTCTTAGTCTTGATGGAGCTTTGCTGGAGATCTAATATTTCACTTTCGGCTTTTTGTTTGCTTATAGCTCTCCCCTGAGCAAACTGCACAACTTAAAGAAGAGCTCTTCGAGGCAGTTAAAGTAAGTTGATTGTCACTTTTATAACCTTTTTTTTTTCAAGAACAGTAATTTATTAACATGATTTTAAAAATCAAATTATTCTAAAAGGCCTATAAAATGAAAAATCTGTAAGACCTGCTCCCCAAAAGTTACTCTTTACTATTACAGCTATTTCTTGTGGTATTTACCTCCATATCTCTAAAAGAAAATGCTTATAACTGCAAATTTCTTTTTTTTTGCAATTTCTTGATTTATCAGGTTTAGTTGTTAGTGATTCTCTTGCTATGGTAAATAAGAGCTTAGCTTGCCTACATATATCTGTACAAATTACCTCTATTTTATTTTATTTTTTTAAAGATTTTATTGGGGAATTGGGGGAGGTGAACAGACAAGTTGCTGCCCTTTTGTTCTTCAGTCTAGTTGTGGAGGACGTGGCTTCACTGGCCCATGTTGGTATTATCATTGCGTTATTCCCGAGTGAGGCAGTCGCTCACCGGCCATTGGACAGCCGCTCACAGCGGCTCACGGCAGCTCAAGAAAGCTCATGCCCGCTGCCGGCCAGCCCCACTGCAGCCTACGCCTTTTTCGGCTACTCATGGCAGCCCAGCTGCAGGTCGAGCTGTTGTTCACCATCTTAGCTGTAGAGGGTGCAGTGTGGGATCCGAACTGGGGCCCTGCTGCTCAGAGCTGGCGTCCCAAGCCAACTCCTAACCAACACGTTGCCAGTCGGCCAGCCCTATTATTTTTTTAAAGAGTCATATTTCCTAAGAACTGTCTACTCATTGCCTTTATATGTTCTTATTTTGGGTTGCTGGCTTTTTTCTAACATAGGTTATTTTATAAACATTTGACTATGATATGAGATACATGTATTTTTCTCTAGTTGGCTCTTTGTCTGTTTTTACTTTATGGCATGTTCTACCATACAGTAATTTAAAATTTTTTATGTGGTTGAGTTTTTTCTTTTCTGCCTCTGCAATTGATAGCATACTTTACTTTTTTAAATACCTCATTTTTAAAAAATTTTTTATTATGAAATACACATTTTTTAGAATTAGTTTCAGCTGTACAACACAGTGCAATAGTTATACTTTTTACCCCTCGAAGTNGTAGCCCATGGCAACCCACTGCCACAGGGGCTGCAGCCTATGACTCACAGCAGCCCAGCTCCAGGTTGAGCTGTTGTTCAGCATCTTAGCTGTAGAGGGCAGTGTCACTGGCCCTCTGAATTAGGTATTCTAAAAGTCCTTTTCATATCTAAGATTCTGTGATTTTTGAAAATCATGTTTCTTTTGGTTTTTACATACTTAAATTGCAGATTATGGCAATCCAATGAAACCCTAACAGTAGTTTAACAATATAGAAAAAAGTCATTTTTCCATAATAGAAGTAAGTGTATTCCAAGTCTGTCTAAGTTTTCATGAGTTCACGCAGCTGTCAAAGTGAGGGGGCTGTGGTCTCTTAAAATCATGGTTCATGTGAGTATCAGCAGACCTATCTCTGAGGTGGGTAGGGATGATTATCCCTATGTGATAGACAAAACAGATTACATTGTCCCTGAATGCTAGAGCAGGTGTGGTCTAAGTGTAGTACAACACCTTCATTTTACATTTATGCTCTAGGTCTTCCACAGTCTGTCTTCTAGTTACCTTTCAAAGTTATGTTTTACCACTTTTCAAATTCTTTCAAATTCAAATATCTTCCTCTGTTGGTGGAGTCATCGCATCCTTTTGTCCACTTTGTGTTTTTCCCTATCACATTTCCCTTTCCTTGGAATCTCCTCTCCATTCCACCCCACCTTCATCTGCTTCTTCCATATCCTCTCTGAGCCCCTTGCTTAAATGTTCTCTCGGAATGAAGCCTTTTGATTTCATACCAGAAATAAATGCTCCTTCCATAACTACCTTAGGCAGCACTTTATTCATACTTCTCTTAATGGTGCTTTTTTTCAGTTTCATGTTTTGACATCGTTCACAATGTTATTTGTTTACATAACTTATTTCTCTTACAAGGCTTTATGCTAAGGAATTAGGGTATAAGTGATTCATGTTTGTGTCACCTGTAATGCTTATCACAATGCCTTATATGGAGTAAGGCTCAATAAATGATTGTAAAATCACAGATGAGGAAATACTGGTCCAGAGAAAGGAACTGACTTGACTAAAGTCATACAGCTAGTTATTGGCTGCGTTTGGTTTAGAAGGTATTGCTGGTGGTCTAAAAAATAAATGCTGACAATAGGGAAAATCTGTTACTTTCTCTCTCAGTGAGCAAATATTTTTGCCAACTCACAAACACGTGACAGTATAAAGAATGCTTATTGTCATAAACCACTAAAAACAAGTTCATCTTCAGCTTGTGGCTGTAGGAATGAGGAATCATCCATTGGATTTTCCAGTGCAGTTCACAGCCAGTGCTTGCGCCCTCAACTTAACACGCCAGGGCCTGGCCTGGGGGATGCCTGTTCGTCTGTTGTCCGAGGTCACCTGTCTACTTTTCAAGGCTCTGAAAAATTTCCCCCATTACCAGCAGGTAATTTAAATTGAATATTTAACTTGGCTTCTTACTTCAGGACAAATATATGAAGAATATGTATTATTTAGTTGTGATTTTTCATTGTATCTGAGAGAGAGAAAGAGAGTGGGAGAGAATGGATAAGGAATTTGTTTGTTATAGAAAAAATAGAAAATATGGATAAGCAATATGGTTTACATTTTAAAAATTTCTTGGAAACCAGTTACTCAGAACCATCCATTAACACTTTGGTACATCCTTATAGGCTTAACATCATACGTGCAAGTTAAATTGAATTGAATCATAGATCTTAATATAAAAATTAAAACCATAAAACTAGAAGAAAACATTAGGAGAAAATATTTGTGACCTTGGGGGAGGCAGTTTTCTTAGGATACAAAAAGCACACATCATAAAAGAAAAATTAATTGGAATTTATCAAAATTAAAAGCTTACACACACCAAAAAACAGTAAAAAATGAAAAAGTAAACCATGAGCTGGGAAATATGTTCATTTTATGTATATGATAAAGGTCTTTTATCCAGAATATAAAGAACACAAGTTCCTTGTCAGTAACACAAGACAAACCAATTTTTAAGAAAGGTAAGAAATTTGAACAGAAGCTTCACCAAAGAAGATATGCAGATAACAAATGAGCACATGAAAAGATTTCAGTATCTTCAGTCATCAGGGAATTGCAAATTAAAACCACATTGAGTTACCACTGCACAAACCCTAGATTGGTTGAAATTCAATGACTGATAGTACCAAGTATTGGCAAGGGTGTAGAGCAATAGATTCTCATATATTGATGTTAAGAATGTAAAATAATACAACTACCAGTTCAACAGTCTCATAGTTTCTTTAAATGTTAGATGTATACCTTCCATACTACCCAGTCATTCTACTCTTAGAGAAATGAAATAATAATAATGTGTAAAGACTTATACACGAATATTCATCTTTGTTCATAATTCTCCCAAACTGAAAACTTTCCAAGTGTCCCACAACAGGTGAATAGATAAATTGTGATATATTCATATTCATATAAGGGAATATTATTTGTCAATACAAATGAATGAAGTACTGAATAAAGTATATGGATGAATCTTAAAAATATGCTGTGCAAAACAAATTGAACACAAAAGAGTAGATACTATCTGATTCCATTTATTTGAAAACTTATAACAGACTAATGTATAATGACAGTGTAATTTTCTGGGGTTGAGGTTTGCAAGGTCAGGATTGATTGGAAGGGGCACATTGGAACTCTTTGGGATGATGGAAATAGTTTTTTCTTGATTGTGGTGGTGGTGGGTGGTAGTGGTTACACAGCTATATAAATTTGTCAATTCTACTTGAAGGATGTACTTAAAATGGGAATTAGTTTTTTAAAATACAATAAGAAAGGTGGTGTTTCCTCATTAAAAAAATTTTTATTTCTAATTTCTCTTAAAAAGTTGGAAGATCTTTCTCAATTCAGTCTTAATTCCTGCATGTTCCTGCATAGCAGCCATCACTTGGAGCTGAGTAACAACTGCCTTTAGAAGAGGGCATGAATTCTCCAGTTTGCCATAATTCCTGCTACTTCTTTGTTGTTTCACACTCAACCCTCTTTACTTATTTATGTTACTACCTGGTTACTGTTTACATTTGCAATTTGCTGACCCTGCCTCATACACTATACTGCTGTCATACTGGCCTACTCATGGCCTCTCAAAGAGATGTTATATTTTTCTGTTCCTACAGCTTTCCCAGGATGCCTTCTTTCTTTCCTATCTGTAAAGGCCCAGTTCAGCCCCTATGAATCTTAGGTAGAAAGTAGAAGCTCTGTCATAGTTATGAGATCTGGTAAGGACATTTGTCATTTAGTAGGTAGGCCAGGCTTCAGGTAATTAATTTGGACTGACAGTAGATTCTTGTGGGATTCAGGGGGAAGAGACCATCTCTTNGTTTGCTGTGGGCTTATCATATATGGCCTTTATTATGTTGAGATATGATCCCACTATTCCCACTTTGCTAAGAGTTTTTATCATAAATGGTTGCTGGATTTTGTCAAATGCTTTTTCTGCATCTATTGATATGATCATATATTTATTTTTCATTTTGTTAATGTGATGTATTACGTTAATTGATTTGCAGATATTGAACCAACCTTGTATACTAGGAATGAATCCCACTTGAGCGTGGTGTATGATCTTTTTAATGTGACACTGAATTCAGTTTACTAGTATTTTGTTGAGGATTTTTGCATCTATGTTCATTAGGGATATCGGCCTGTAGTTTTCTTTTTTTGTAATATCTTTGTCTGACTTTGGGATCAGAGTAATAGTGACCTCATAAAATGTGCTTGGGAGCCTTCCCTCCTTCTGTATTTTTTGGAATAGTTTGAGGAGAATAGGTATTAAATTCTTTTTTGAATGTTTTGTAAAATTCGCCTGTGAAGCCATCTGGTCCAGAACTTTTGTTTGTTGGAAGCTTGTTGATTACTGACCCAATTTCTTTG